ATGTAGGACTTATTTCTACTGTCATTTACATCGTAAAAGTATCTCCTCTTCAACTTACCAATGACAATCCTGATGGTATCCTATATGCGTTCGTAAGCTTGCTAAAATACTACTGCGTTGATGTCCGCTTGTAAAAGCTGAAATCCAACAAATGCTTTGATCCATGCTACATCTCCGTGTTGGAAAAGCCCTTTCATCTCCGTTCATGATAACATCTTACCCTATTCTACGCAAATCTGTCACATCTACTCTCAAACAAGACGTCAACTTCAAACGAAAACGCGTTCTACGATGCGTCTACACTCCATCCCCATATCATTGGCGTTGACTGTTCCGAGGTCGATCTTGTTCGCCTGTTTTCGGCGTCTTGACGCCCGCGCAATGCGAGCTTGTAGCAAATCTGTCACATCTACTCTCAAACAAGACGCCAACTTCAAACGAAAACTGTATTATTGTAGATTGTCCAGGCTGTGATTGCATATACTTAATGTTATGTATCTACTTCATTTTTTTTCTTTCTTGTTTTTCTCCCATCATTGGACTCTGTCGTCTGCCCCTCTGGCCCGTATCCTCCACTTCTTTCTACTGGCTAGACGACCTGACCGGCACATTGGAGGGGGGGGCTGGACCCCCTCCTGCGGTCCCTGCCAAAGATATTTTTATCGCGAGAAGGGTACAGCGACCCCTCCCTCGCGACCTACGAAGTCGATTTTGGTTTACTAACAACGAGCTTTGCAGCGCGTCGATTTCATCCTAGACCAGGATCTATTTTGTAAGAAAAAACTCACTGCCGGGACTCGAACCGATAACCTGGCCTTTACAAGGCTGCGAGGGTTATTCGTTAACCCTTAGTGGTATGCCCTTGTTGTCTTTGTAGAGACTGTAGTGCTTGATGCTTAGATCTTATCTCTCACACCCGGTTGGGGGGAAAGAGCAGGGAGTCCCACGCACACGACAGCTGACAGCAGCTGGCGTGGGGGCTCCGCACAATCATTCCCTGGTCGTACTACCCCACGCATACCCATGTGCAGGGCACCTGAAACAGTCATCTCGTCTAGAATTCCGACTACATGCGCACTCACACGAACAGGGTACCCACTAAACCACCGGGACCGGTTGCATATGTACAGCAGTAGTGTTGGCAAAGCTTTCAGAAATATATGGCCCTACACATCTACAGTAGTGGGTTCCTGAACGGCAAATGCCCGGCAAGATGTCCATCAGACAGAGTATTGCAACATCTTGTTTCGCATATTGGCACAAAGCAACAAGAGCTGTGTGTGTGCGATGATAGCGCTGTGTTCCACGCTGGACTTTGTATTGTGGCCTAGAGTACATACGCAGTTATTTGTGGATGTATTCACTCTTCCGCGCAGCTATCGTTTCGACGCCTCACGAATCGGCGATCTACTATTACATGGTACATGTACTAAATAGTGCATTGTGGCCCCAACAAGCTTTTCGTGGAAAGACGACAGCGACATCATTAGCGACAGAACCAATAGGATGGAGTGAGGAGCTCACTCGAGGTTGGCGCGCGACACTGCTGTGGTAAACATGGTGATCCGCCCACTCAAGACATCAAAAACTGGAGTCGAGTGAACAGCGAAAAGAATGCAGGCCGTGATCCACGAAATATGCTTCGCACTTCGTAGTATAACCCAAGAGACTCACCGCGTTTGCTCCTCTCCGTCCGTTGACGCAGTCCTTAACGCTCCACCAAACCTTGTCCGACCCCTTCCAAACGCCGCATTCTCGTGTTCAGCGCCCCCATCATCACGGCTGCATCGGCGGCAGCGGAAGCGACCGCAGCGACGTGGATGTTGTAGACCTCGCGCTCCTCTTCCAGGCGCTCTCCTTCTATCCGCCTGATGAGCTGACCGCTGTGACTTCGCTCGAGGCTCCCGCTATCTTCCTCTTCTCCCTGTTCCCCGCTATCCGGCGGTACCGCCACAATCTCTAGCACCGCCTGTTGCGCGAGGACGGCCTCGTTCGCCGCAGCCTCGTTCGTTAACTCGGACGGTTTCCCATTCCTACGGTCCACGCCCTTCTCGTTGCCAAGACCCTCGTCGCCAGCGCTTCCTTTGCCGTTCGTATTATATGCTGGTGTTGTTGGTGGCGGCATAGAGTTGCTGTTGATGACAACATACTTTCCGTTGGTCAAGCGCCAATCTTGCCAGGCGACGGCGTCCTTTCTTGAGCCGCGCAATTGTTGACGCCTCACAGGTCCAGCGGAAGAAGAAGGTGGAGACAAAGAACGAGGCGGGACGACAGCGGCCGCAGCAGGAGCAGAATCGCCGTTTTCAACAGCACCACCGCGGACGCCCTCAAGCTCCTCGTACATGTACGAATGCCCGCCCCCGATCGAAAGGTGGCCGTTGACAGGCGTTGCCATCCCGTGGTGGCAATACATGACGACAAAGGTCGTAGTGAAGACGACCGACAGCCCGGTCAACAACCATCTGAGCATGACAGACGCCGGCCTGTTCATCCATCCCAAGCCGTTGTTGGTTCTGCTCGATCTTCGTCTCACGTTTCCGTTGCTGCTGTTGTGGGGAAGCATGGCCGACCTGGCCGGGAAAAGGCGTTCTCTTCTCGTCTGGCGTAGACAACAGTCCGTGCGAACGAAGCAAAGGAAGACGGCTCAGCATCATCAGGCTCAAGAACAATACAGAGGGATTAATTTTAGTGCCCGAGATAGTATATCTCTGCCCCCCTACCGAACTGCTCGAAAAGCCTGACACAACGCTTCGACGGGAGGTTTGCCGGTACGTTTTGGCCTTGGGCAAGTTGGGTGAATCACGCGTGGAACCCCAGGGACCAATTGCAGCAATCTACAGTAAATGTATGGCGGACAGCATCTCTCTACGTCGTGAGGGGTAAGCGGGTGAACGCGTGGGGCGAGTTCTCACCAGCATGTACCTCGTGCTTCACTCTTTCGATCATTGACCACGCACAAGTCCCTCTTGGGGACAGGTCACCGCTGTTAGTTCAAGTACACATCGTAAAGTTATCGTTTCGTCGCCACTATTGTCCGGGACACCAACTGTCGCCTTGCTCCCTACTCGCTTTGTTTCATTGTCTGCCCAGCCTTTGAAGTACACTATCCTCGTAGCTGCCTTGTGCTCCCCAAAAATAATGTCCCCAGCGCCGGAAAAATCTTGCAAAATGTCAAGAGTACAGCTACAAGTAGTCTTAGTATACCCTTTTTCCTTGGGATTATTTGGGGTGCGCGTCAATAAAATCGAAATAAGGAATACCCAGGGGCGTTTTCTAACAGAGGGGGCGGCGACCGATCGATCCGGAAAAAAGCAACCTCGAGGCACCTCCTCTCGATGCATCCTACGGTGCTTTCACCACCGAGCGGACCCCGAGCAGGAAACCACGATAGATGTGTAACACGTCCCATTTTTTGGGGACTCTCCGTGTATCTGACTCTCTTCTTTTTTAGGCGGCATGAGATAAGTCTTGTGCTCTCTGTGGTTACGAGATTTTCCGACAAGAAGTATTGCTGTAGCTCATGCATTTCGCAAGAGCTACGTTATTTGGCGAACCTTTCGGTACCGTCCGGCGAATAGGCGTTGGGCGGCACCCAAAGACTCTTCTTAGTATGCCAACGTGCCTCGGATGTTAGTCGCCGTGACGAGTCGATGACAGTTGTTGATTATGCAGGGGGTTGTTGAGATGTGACACACAACGAAGGAAGCAACGATGCCAACAACACCAGCAAAAATATTCTTTAGGCAGACGCCACAACAGCAACCGCCAAAACAGTTGCTACTACGCCGACAACGTGCTGGAATTGACGACTTGGGGTTTGTGCCAGCGGGGGGGGATTGCTTTGTATGCAAAGAATGCCCCGGGGGGGAACGCACAAACTTTTCGTAGAAGAGGGGTAGATAGACGATACCCAAACACTAGAAGAAAAAGACTTTCTTCACCCGCGGTATGAGCTTTGAGGAGGGACGTTTTCATGGGGAAGGGCCGCTCCGAAAATCGATTTCTTCCAGTACATTGTCTATCTCGTTTGATCCGTTTTCCGCCAGGCTACCATATTCATGACATTTGCTTTTGACCCAACGTTGTTCGGACGTTTGGAGTAGTTACGGGCAAGAGTGCTCGCGGAGCCAAATTATGGACGTACTGCCACAAACTGGATTAAGGATCAGATCCGGGGGTGGGGGGGTGGGGGGTGTACTCATACTCATAGTCGTGCATGGCGTAGTCGTTAGACCATTGACCTCGCATCCCTACAAAGCCGGGACGGAGCACGCCGGGTTCTCACCGGACCAGGCTCTCACATCACCAAGCGCGAAGCGCCGTGAGATATTCGGCGAGTCGCATGAAGGGTGCGCTGCATCCTGCTAAGGGTGTTCGGCATCTTGTGCTTACTTCCTTGCGTACGGATGACAGCTGCGTATGAATTAATTTATTTTCTGGTGCTTTCACTTCCAGAGACAGTTGTAAGCACTGTGTAACTGCCTCGAGGGTGCTTGACCATTTTAACACAACGTGGTGCGATCATCCCCCTTGCGCGGAGTGAGGGTTCACCCCGCACAACATGATCTACTCAACCATCATTATGGTTACCGCCCAAAAAAAATAAACGGAGGAAAAAAAAAAAAACGGTAACCTGGTTGCCGAGTTCACGAAGTGAATTGGCTTGTTTTACAACGTCGCAGAAGTAAAAAAACGGTATCCAGGTTGCCGAGTTCACGAAGTGAACGGGCTGGTTCTACAACGTCGTTGCCAAGCGACGAAAACCCAACCCCGACAGCAAACACCGNATTGACATAATTTGCTTTCTGGTGCTTTCACTCCCAGGGACAGTTGTAAGATCTGTGTAACTGCCTGGAGGGTGCTTGACCATTTTAACACAACGTGGTGCGATCATCCCCCTTGCGCGGAGTGAGGGTTCACCCCGCACAACATGATCTACTCAACCATCATTATGGTTACCGCCCAAAAAAAATAAACGGAGGAAAAAAAAAAAAACGGTAACCTGGTTGCCGAGTTCACGAAGTGAATTGGCTTGTTTTACAACGTCTTTGCCAAGCGACGAAAACCCAATCCCGATGGCAAACACCGGGGGGGGCGGCTTGTTTTACAACGTCGTTGCCAAGCGACGAAAACCCAACCCCGACAGCAAACACCGGGGGGGGGCGGGGGGCGGGGGTTGGGGGGGGGGCTGTTCTCTACCGTATATGGTGTTTCAACTAGGATTAGCTTAGTATAGTTTAACCTGTACATCGTCGACTGAATACATATTAAGTAGGATTAGTATGGGTATGCATATGTAAAGGTATTAAAACTATAATGTACACAGTATTAGTAGTAGTGGGCCCTGTATATCGCAGCCTGCTAAGTGCCAGGTCATGGGTTCGAGTCCCGGCAGAGTGAGTTATTTTCTCACTAAATATATCCTGGGCTAGGATGAAAGCGACGCGCTGCAAAGCTCGTTGTTAGTAAACCATAATCGACATCGTAAGTCGTGAGGGAAGGGATTGCTGTACTCTTCTCGTGATAAAAATACCTCAGGCAGGAACCGCAGGAGAGGTCCAGCCCCCCCCTCCTACGTGACCCCGGTTGGGTCGTCTAGCTAGTAGAAGTGGAGGATAGGGGCCAGAGGGGCAGACGACAGAGTCCAATGATGGGAGAAAAACAAAATCGTGGCGGTTGAATAGTGCCACGGTATATATAGACTAGTGCCGACCAAATCTCAGGACACATGATCATGAGTGTACAGTCCATCCACCGCCGCCGTGTATATATATCCATTCATCCCTGTTTTGAATAAAGCCGGTGGTCATGGCACGGTATAGTGCCGGTACAACCGCTGGTCACAACATACCCGCACTAGACAGGGCCCACTACAATAATACTGCAGTGTTGGTTTGTACACTACATGATACTAAAGCCAACACAAAATATGTATTTGGTTTGTACACTACGATACTAAAGCCAAGCCATTCAAGAAAATATATCGACTTTCCTAAACTATACTTTATTACCAAAACTATATTGTCATTATTTTGTTTGCCCTCCGACAATTGTAGATAAATGCAGACATACAGAAAAAGTCGATCGTAAAGGCCGTCATGCCAAGCCAAATTAACTCGATGCCCAATAGCTAGGAATGTTTGCCTCTAAGTCAACAAACTTTGGTTGAAACACTACAGCTGAACTCTAGGCACGAACCTTAGATGGAGAAAAACGAACGAAACCCCAACCTCATCCACCCGAAATCAAACAAAACTCGGCCCCGTCTTCCCTGGTGCCCTGACACCGTATCGAACAGAAATCCGCTTTCCACCGAAGTGGTTAGGTTAAAGCTGTAGTATATCCTATTCAGTAAGCGAATTGAACAAGCAAGCTGGATCAAGCGCCCGAGAACATGGGGGGCGGGTGGGGGAGGGGTGGCAGTATGTCCAGAATTTGACTCCTCGAGCCCTCTCGGCACGACAAGGCACGGGTGAAGGGGGGTCCCTGGTTTGTGCCCAATGATCTCCCGACCCTCCCCCAATCTTCGTCCAGTGAGTACTTCCTGGTGAGCAGGGAAGACATGACACTCCCCTATTTTGACCGATTTTCAAAGCGCGATTGCAGTCCACAATGTTAGTGTGCACTGCCGCCCTCAGCGGTCTGTGGTGTTGAGACTGGGTGCTATATTATCCCAGGAACAGCAGATGAAAAAGGACCATGTATTATATATATCCGTCACGCAACCCCCTCAGGCAAGCTGGTCACCAACACGCAAGCCCCTCAGGCAAGTGCCGGGAGCACACCGCCGTGTGCTCACCCGGAGGCCCCGCACTTGACCTCATACATACCCATCACACTCATAGTTCCGATACGCGTATCCCCCACAGAGGGTGCACATATCGGATTCATATCCAACTACGACAAACACACAACAAAGATTGTGCCAATATCAAAAACGTAGAAGTATGGTGGTGGGGCAATCGGAGCTTTAAAAGTCGGTCCAAGAGGAGGGGTGTCATCTCTTCGCCTCTTGCGGTATTCCGTACGTACGTATTTCATGATGGTGCGGTTCTTCATAGTGCTTGTCGTTTCAACACAAATACGAATACGTTATCATTTTTTGGCAGCTGCCGCATGCTAAATACTGTTTAATGAAGAAGATCTGCTTAGATTGTTAGGCATACTTGCTGCGCAGTCAGACAGATGTGAATACCGGGAAAAGGGCAATGAATTGTGTATGAAGGGTGGGCATATCGAATGGGTACCCCTCGTTGCCAAAGGAATGTTGACGTCAAGAGGGGAAAGGACCACCACCATCTACTACGTGTTGAATTATTTCGTGAGAAGAGGGAGCGGCGCTTTACCAAAATAGAAGGGTTCGTCTTCAACGATGGATGAGCGACAGTGTAAGGAAAGCAGGAATTGAATACGTTTCTCGCCGTGCTCTCTCGGGCTCGCCGCGCGTGCGTCTGCACACTTACTTCATCTCCGACAACACTTCGAATAGAATGTGCTGTAGCGCGCCTGGTTTTGCCCTTGGTTGCGTGGTTTTTTTGGCTGACGCGACGGGTTACTTACTATCGAAAGTTTTTTGAGTTGTGAGGAACGAGAAAACGCACACGCGCGCGTCATGCAAGCTTAACCAAAGCTGCTGCTGCTGGTACATGCACCGGCAACAGCAAGACCACGGCTTCCATGGTCACTCCGAGATCAAACCCGCCGAGAAAGAGCTGGAGGGAAAGAGCTGGGATCACCTCTACTCTCCTCGCTTTTCGCAGGTTTTTTTGCATGACACCAAATCTCACCTCTCTCTCTCTGCCGCGCCTACGCTTAGGTCGACCACGAAACCAGGGTGGTAGTACACGACTCTCGGTGAGCAATGGTGCTTGCTATGCCTTTCGGTAACCCTTGTGCTTGATGCTGCCTGCCTGCTGCCTGTTTTTCTCGCCCACTCCTTCCTCCCGCTTGTTGTAGGTGATGGTGGCGTTTCTGACCTCGAGGCAGACTGGCGAAGATGAAGCGGGAGTACGGTTGGGTGCAAACACCGGCCATGCAGGGAAATTTCGTCTACGTACACATGTAAAATAAATTGAAAATCGAATGTTTGATTTTATTTATGAGCGTTTTGGGTTGAATTGGAAGATTCAGAATTACTACCGTATCTTCGCGTTTGTTCATGAACTTCGGCTCATCTCGCGGCTTCGGTCTGCTGTTGTCTCCTCCGAAATGTTGAAGGTGGTATTTTTCTTCACCTGATCCACCGACAGATTGACGCCGAAGGAGGCACCGGAACGATTCGATGCAGACAGGCGATACATGCAAAGAATGTGTAAACGCATTGTTTGATGCTACATAGATCTACACTGCGGACTTTTTGTCTTTGCCGTCTGAGAGATACTGTAGTGCTGACGTACGTTCCCTCGTGCACGCCGGAAGACAGGACGCAGGGCAGCTGCGAGAAATAATAGTGCAACACCTAAGTATGGATGCACAATGTCAATACTAGTTAACGGTTTGAACTCTCGCCAAGGCGTCGCCAAGGCGATAGCATGTACCGCGCCTACGTAGTCGGTGAGATACGTACAGTTTAGTCCACAAGATGAAGTTCTCGAGATTCGACGTTGAAGAGCTTAGTATACTCTACGCCCATCATCATTATACATGGTGACTGCAGCAAGTAGAATATCATCGTGTATGTACAGCGGAGAAACTTCCAGTGCCCCAGGAGTAAAACTCATTTGTCAGTTCGGGAACACCAAAGACGGCCAACGCTTGGGGTTCTCGTGCTGGCTGCCCCCGCCGCGAAGTGAACGTATGTATGTATGTATACACGAGAGGCGTAGATCAGGTGTGTACAGTAGAACCGCAGGAGGGGCTCCAACCTCCCCCTCCTATGTGACCCCGGTTGGGTCGTATAGGTGGTAGAAGCGGAGGATAGGGGCCAGAGAGGCAGACGACAGAGTCCAATGATGGGAGAAAAACAATTACAAACAACAGGTACCTGGTGCCAGAAAAATGGGACGAAGAAACGAACACACACATTGGCCGTGTGTAAATAAATGAGAAACGGAGAGAGCGAGGAAACTTTCGACGGGGTCGTCCCAGCCGCTCGTTTGCTTTTGCTGAAATCGGGCACCGCGAGGCCGGCCGTCCTCGTCACGCCAAGCTTTGCAAGTTCCAGTCACCACCGCCCCCTCCCCTCTACGCAGGCCGTGATCGTTACGTCAGGTTTTGCAAGTTGCGGTCACCACCCCATCCCTGGTACGCACCCGGAGGGAGGTCCGCCGCGTCGAAGTTTGGTACTCACAATTCTAGGCCAGGAGCGGAAGCGAGAGAAAAACTCACTTCGCAAGAAAAGCTCGCTTGCGCCGGGATTCGAACCCCTGATCTGGCGTCCAGAAGGTCCCGAGGATACCAACTAGACCACCGGGGCGACCGGTAGAACCATTAGAAGAGGTGGACTCGCAACCGATATCGCATCGATATCGAAGCTGGTCTAACCGGAGTCGATCCGATCTCCAAAATAATCAAAACTTCACGATCTCCGGAGAGCGACGCGATAAAAAGGCGGACTACAAACTGCGGAACATGCTTTGGTAGGAGAACGCAACACACCGGTGGGGGTAATGCGTCACTGGTCAATGAGCGGTGTACACACAGGGTCAACTCATGTTGGTGTTGGCCAGCAATGTTAGGTGAGTGAGTGGCCGCTACGTAAACAACTCATCATGCAGCCAGGGAGTGTACTGCTGTGTGCGAAGAACACCCCGGGTGGCAGTCAGCAGGGCGGGTGATATGGTTATTATTATGGTTGTTGTTGTTGTTGTTGTTGACTTCACATTAAACCGTATGCCAGTTGCT